CACCTGAGGACGGCTGCTTGCGTTGTGGCCAAAACGTCGTGAGAATTATTTATTATGTTTTATTTTTATTATTTTATTATTTCCCTTCTACGTGACTTTACCGAAAGAACCAAGAAGACGGACCCAACCCACTTGAGTTGTATTCCCGGTCGCTGCTGACACCAGTGGCGGAGTGAGATCTGAATCGGTCCTGCCAGGGCTTTCTCCTTCACTAAGCCTGCATTGACCAGCCTGGTGAAGTATGGTCAAACAGCCCCCACGTGCGACACGGCGTGGGGAGGAGGCCTTCGACCAGCTGTGGATATGACGAAGGAACGTTCATCGCGATGATACAAGATGCGATGATGCCAGATGTGGTCTTATGCTGCCAGTTGTCTGGTTAAGGGAATGAGAGGCAGGCCACGTTGCGAGAAGAAATGATGAATGGTGTGTTCGGCGATGATGAAATCACACTCGAGTGCAACAGGCGTTAGGTTAATTCTTGTTACATCTTTGGCTTGGGGAAGCCTTCATCCAGCAGTGGATAAGATCGTGGCCAGGGGTCGACAACCCGCGGCTCCGGAGCAGCATGCGGCTCTTTAAAGGACTAATTTCTGGCGTGATTTGTCCAGGACCACCGTCTCATACTCGCATGCATTGCAGCTCTTGAAATATTGAGGATGGTTTTTTGTCCGAATTCGGACAAAAACGGCTGTTCTTGTTTTTTGGTGGCTGAAGATGATGACAAAGAGAGAGAGAGCAGTTATCACGAATATCAAAAGTAACAAAGGACACATTTACACACACCATTATCATTAACACTCTCATCCTCATGGGCCATGTTCTATCCGCTGTAGGCCTTCCTCCACAATGTCGCCTCAATCCAACTCCACCCCTGCACGTGAACCCACCTCACGGTGTTTCATGGTATATAGACAGAGACAAAGATCCCCCGTATAGCCTTAACAGACTGTTGGGGCAAGTGCTGTTAGCGAGCACCTATGAAAGCCGAGACGGCAAACGACGGATTAGGTGGCCAGCACCACTGCCGACCGCCTTTGTCTCCCCAGTGGCGATGTTTACTACATACAGCACCAGGTACTCATTGCTCGGATATTATAAGCCACTGATGTTATCCGTGGCCGGGAATCGAACTCAGGTGGGCCGAGTTTACAGCCCAGTGCGATAACTACTGCACCACCGCTCCCCACAACACACACAAAAGACAGATAAATAACAACAGCCCATATTTGCCACTAAGTGGCGGGGTCGTCACTACAGCGCTTGTGCCAGGCTAGGTGCACCGTAAGACCACGTGAAATGTCGAAGGCTCGCTGCTGACAGGAGGTCACGGGACAGACTCAGGTGCCGTCGATCGACTGACTGTGACGACTGGCAGATGCACCACCTGTGCTCCCCACTGTGCCAACTTGCTGCGTTTTACTCCGCCCGGTGCTCCGCGCGTTGTTGTGAGCGTCGCTCCGTCTGCACCCACGTAGTTGTTGGATGGCGACTGCCTCAAACTGCCCTTCGCGACCCGTCCCAACGCGACGGCCAATCTAGCACCTGCACACAAACCGATTCCATCGCTCTGTCTCCGCGGAGGACGTGCCCTGGTTGCCACTCGGCGGTGAGTCTCGTCCCTGTTTCATGAGCGGCCGTGACCATCCCGAGCCGATGACCTCCCTACGAAAACAACCTTTCTCGACTCCCCGTCCAGCACAAACCTTCTACCCAAAATCACTTTCCCTGGCTCGTCAATGCGATGTCTCCGGCTTGTACTTATAGATATTGTCTGACCCTTTGTGAACTCCATCTCACTGGCGTCTCTATTTGTGTGCTATGAAGAAGGGTCATTGCCCGAAACGTCGCTATTGTGTTTTTGTTTAAGGCTACAGTGTTATTAACGAATGTGTTGAGTTACGTTAATGTATATGATGGTTGTTATCAATGGCACGACATACGAGGAATTACCCTATACCACTTTGATTAGAAATGTTTCGCTTTTGCCATCTTCTGTTGGCATAACAAGTGACTGTCCCCTGTCGTCAACGTCCACTAAGTACACACTCGTTATCACAGCCCTTTGGCGATGCTCTGCTCTATGATAGCTTCCCCGCTCAGTGTCGGTCAGTCGCGGGTGTTGTTTGACCATACTTCACCGCGATGGTCAGTGCGTAACTGGTGGGGGTTTGTGGCATTTGGCTGACTGCTGTTAATGGAACTCGCCAAACTGACGTCATGGCCGCCCGTCGGCGAGAATCTAACTTGGGTGGCCCGAGTTCGTAGCGCAGTGCGCTCACCACTGCGCCACCGCTCCACCCCCGTCATTGTGCGTAAAGCCCTCTTGTCACTCCACTGCTGGATTGAGACGCCTCCACATCACCCACATTGGGATTTTTGCACACAGTGTTGGTGTACGGTGCTTTTTCTGCAACATTTTGCTGTCTTTTCTTGGATTTTCTGTTTGCACATAGTCACTTTAAGATGCTTTCTTGTTCATGTTTTTGTTTTTTGTTTGTTGCGGTTGCACCCGATTCAAGAGTCGAATGGCTCACAGGGCTATACCTAATAAATGAACTTGAACTTGATTATTCAGATCGCAATTGGCGCGCGTATACTGCCGCATCGCAACGAGATGCGAGTTTAAACCTCGAGGGTCAAACTGGACTGACGTCATCGCTCATTCGCCGATACAAATTTTAAAAGTAACCACCTTGAGACAGTGATCACTCTGGTTATCATCTGGTGCACTGTCATAGTAACGTCGAATTTCCACGACCGTACCAAGCCCGTTGGTGCAGGGCGACCCATCGGAGGCTTCTATTGGATCTAAACGATTGTGAGTGAGCGGTGCGTATCTGTTGATGTTCTCGGGAGGCAGGAGGGTGCCCGTTTGGCAAAAATTACAATCGAGGTTGCGCTCACCGCCTTACAATTCTAAAAAGCGACGTTTCAGACGTTGGGCCTCCCCCCCCCCCACCCCCCCCCCCCCCCCAAAAAAACACAAAAAAACGACGCGGAGGTTGATCGCTTTAAACTCACGGGGGCAAGGGGTTCAGTAGAAAAGTTCGACATTTCTTAAAGTTCCGAGCGAAACACTCGCAAATAAACGAGCAACGTCGTCGCCACCATCGCCACCATCGTCACCATCATCATCAGTGAACCGAGTGATTCGCCTCCAGCAGAGTGCGACGCGGAAGCTGTTAAAAAGCGAGCACGGCTCGCTCCCGGCTACCAGTACAGCACAGTATATATATATTGTATATATTGCGCACGGATGATAGAATCATCTGTTGCGTTGCCTGTTGGTCCTCCTCGTCTCACGGCCGTGGGTTTGCTGATGAGTTCTAACGCGTGCCTTGTTCCGGGCCACCCCCCTCTGTCAATCTACCGCTGACTTGAAGCCCCCCAGGCGAGTTGCTAGTGGAGGCGGATTGATCACACGTCATTTCGCGCGACCTGCGGGGCTACTCGTTCTAACGCCAATGGCCCCGGGTACAGGGCTCGAACTTTAGCCTGGGTTCGTAGGGACGGTGCGTCGGCAACCACACGGCGATTTGCGCCGCCGCTCCTGTGGCCTGCTGTTGTTGTTGTTGCTGCTGTTGTTGTTGTTGTTGACCGTGGGTTTGTTGACGATTCTCCCCAATGAAATCGAGGGAATCGTACAGCGCGTTGAGTTCTCCGTGAGTCGTGCGTGGCTTGTTGGTGAACCATAACGAGCATGTATATACAGATAGCTGGCCTCGCGTAACTGGGCATGGATTTCCGCTGAGCCCCAATGATTGCGAAGCCCTCTGTAACACTTTGTAGTCAGGCGTGGCAGACTGTTGCTGGGCGCGGTTCGCTGAGGATCTCCAAATCGCGCGAAGCCCCGCGTTAAACAGTCAACGTTTGCCATCCGCAGGCTGATAGCTTTGCGTGGCGTGCTGATGGCCCCTAATCACGGCGAACCCACCGCCGTGCGGACTGTCCAGTGCACTTCTCGACCAGGCGTTCCCTTTCGTCGCAGAGTCTCCCACCCAGCATGGGGACCACAACGCCGAACAACAACGGGCTGGAAGCCGAAACACCTCGTGGTAGAACGATCCCTTGATTTGGGCCATCGTGTTTGTTGTTTGCCTGTCGGCGTGTGGGGGTGTGCGCGGCCGTGTGTTCAACGGGGGGGTGGCGGTTGTGCAGTGGTTTGCCCACTCCGCTACGAAACCGGCGGCCCGAGTTCGATTCCTGCTCCCGACTATTAACAGTGACGACTTTAAACCGGTCCTGCCACCCATCCACCCCGTAGGTCGACTCAGCCTTAACTGAGTACCTGGTGCGATGTGTAAAACATGCGCACAGAGAAGGCAAAGGTGGCCGGGCGTGTGATTGGCCACCCACCCCCTCGAGTGCCGTGCCGGCGTTCAAACAGCAACTTGCCCGCTCGCTAACAGCGCTAGCCCCCAACAGCCCGTCGTGGGCTACACGGGGAAGTTTTGTCGGCGTCTCTTGTCAAGCCACATTGCAGCAGGGCCTCTGTCCATGGGGCTCAACGCCTGCCGTCCTTCCTTGCTCACCACATCAATGCGCTTTACGAACAAGTGCGCGAACACCCAAATGTGCACTCGTTATTATTATTATTATTTGATTTGTGATGGTCGCAGCGTGTGCAGTGTTTTTCTTGCTTTCTTCTTCTAAACTCCCAGATTATTTTTAAGTTATTAAACAACCGCATCCGGCGGAGGGTTTCGCACAATCCCCATTCCTCGCCTGACATCGTAGAAGCGATCTGTTCTCTCTGGCTGCCCTGCGTGCTGTGAATAAGGGTAATTGCCCGAAACGTCGCCAATTACGTTTTTTGTTGCGTGTTTTTTTGTCGCAAGGTCACGGTGTTGTTATTGACGAGCGTGTGTTGAGTTGTTTATTTGTTTGTTAATTGTGCTTGTGCATCACTGCCAAGGCAGCAGCAGCAACAGCATTACCAACATACTGGGATTCATCTTAAGCGATGTTGTTTATATTCTTGCGCGTGATGGCAGCAGCAGCAGAACGTGGCTCAGGAGCTCGGCGCCGATGTCGAGGTGCTGGCTGCTTGCTACTGCTGGCCAAGACGAGAGGGCTTCAGCAGCAGAGCGAGAGAGTTCGTGTCGTGTCGCTGCTCCTCCTGCTGCGTTGAAGGAGCCCAGCCCACAGTGGGTGGGTTTACTGTGCTGCGGTCTCTAGCTCGAGTTGCATGGCCACAGTCGCACTCCGTCGATGTGTCTCGTCTCTGCGTGTGTCTCTCTATGTCTAGATGTCTCTGTGTATATCTCAACGAGTGAGTCGCTACTTATCTCCACGCCTCTCTATGTGCCTCTGTGTGTCTCTGTGGGTTTACTGTGTGGGTCCATAGTTTAGGCTGCATGACTGTGGCTCGCGTCTTTCATGTACACATCTCTACGCGTGCGTATCTCGATGTGTCTCTAAGGGTCTCTTTAGCCATCTCGATGTGTCTCTAATTGTATTTATTAATTCATCTCGATGTGTCTCTAAAGGGTCTCCATGTATCCATCTCGATGTGTCTCTAATTGTATTTATTAATTAATCTCGATGTGTCTCTAAGGGTCTCTATGTATCCATCTCGATGTGTCTCTAATTGTATTTATTAATTCATCTTGATGTGTCTCTAAGGGTCTCTATGTATCCATCTCTTTGAGTCTCTGTGTCTCTATGTATCTCTGTGTGTCTCTGTGGGTTTGCTACACAATCCCATAGTTTTTTTTTTGCATGGCCACACTCGCTTAACTGTGGCTCGCGCCTTTAATATCTACATCTCTATGAGTATGTATCTCGATGTGCCTCTAAGGGCCTCTATGTATCTATCTCTATGTCCTATCTCTTCGAGTCTCTTCGTGCCTCGATGTATCTCTATGCATCTCTTTGCGTCTCTATGCGTCGCTGAGTGTCTCTATGGGTGGGCTATCCGACTTGAGGCTTGCCTCTCCGTTGTTACATTTCACGTGGGAGGAGTGTACTGCGCGGACGGCCTGCTAATATTATGATGCTGTTGACGATGAACGACACTTGGTAGTGAGAGGATGCGTGAGCGGGTGAGTGATGTGTTGATGGTTTGAGGAGGAGGAGGATGATGGAGGAGGAGGAGGAGGAAGAGGGGGAGCTTGCAAGGCCAGGAGGAGGTGGGATGCTGTGTGGGTCTCGAATGAGGAGGTTATTCGGTGCTCTGTTCGTGCGGAGGGGAGAGACGGGGACCGGCTCGTCAACAAGTCACTAAGTTGTGATGTTATCCGGGCAAAAGCGAAGAAGTTTGCACGAAACATTTCACGCCTCGTCACACTCGCACAGAGCCCCCCCCCCCCCCTCTCCCGTTGTATGCGGCAGATGAGTTCCAAATTTGGAAAGGGGGGGGGGACGCACAAAGCGAAATCGCTGGACGAGACAGCTGCCTGCCGAGTAGCGCACACAGTACATACAGTACACACACAGTACACACACAGTACACACACAGTACACAGGTAAACACAGTAGACACACAGTACACACAGTAGACACACACAATGTTGTCCGACCGCATAGCCGCATATGAGTTAATTCAAACCGCATAGAGCGAATTTGGGTATCAATAGGTTCGCGAAGTCGCACAAAGCGAACCCGCACAAAGCGAGGGGCACCTGCTGTTAAAACTCCCACCGGCGTTGGCCGTGACCGCTACAAATAAAAACAAAAATCCCCCGTATAGCCTGAATAGGCTGTTGGGGCAAGTGCTCTTCACGAGCAAACTACACGACCACACACAAACAAACACACGCGCACACGATGCGACACGTTCCTTGCACGTGCATTCGTTTTAAACACCGCGACGATGATGATGAGTACGCAAATGACAGACATACAACACGCACAGGCCCCTTTGCCCAATCCACTGCTGGATTGATGTCTCTCTCCGTGCGTCGTATCGGTCAGCTCCTTGGGGAAGAAGGGGGGGGGGTGATCATACTTCACCACGACGATGAGTGCGGGCTGGAGAAGAATCACAACGTTGATTAAGACTGAAGGAGGAATCCGATGACCTATGAAGCTCTTTTTGTTTGTTTGTTTGTTTGTTTGTTTTACAGATGTCCAGTCCGGGCATGGGGTCAGCCAGTTATAACGAGGGATCGAGGACACTGCGAGAAAGGGCTGGGTATAGGCCCGCTTCCTATTTTATTCGCCACTGATGACAGCCGTCCTCTGTAATCAAACCGAGAAGGTGAGTGAGCTCACAGAGCAGTGCCCCCCCCCCCCCAACCACTGCACCACCGCTCTTGCCGCAACGGTGACTGTGTTGGTTACGGATCGTTCTTTATTGCCCAACGTGTCCGTGCTCTCTTTCTAAACACAAGCGATACAGGCTTTGCGGTGATTCTCAAATCACGTGCGTAACGTGCCACTCATTGCACCACTTGATTGCAAGAGGTCGCTCTGCTGCTGCTGCTGTCACCATCCTAGAATCTCGGAGGAACGCTGCTGGCGAACGGAGCGGATCAACGCGGACGGCCAGAATTGGGGAACAGTTGTCAGACTGGAACCTCGCCGCGTTGGTCGGCGCGGATTGGTAACAAATATAAAGACCCCCCCCCTGTATAGCCTTAACAGACTGTTGGGGCAAGTGCTGTGAGCGAGTAGCACCTGTGAAGGCCGAGACGGCAAACGAGGGGGTGGGTGGCGAGCACCACTGCCGGCCGCCTTTGTCTCCCCTTAGTGGCGTTGTTTATTACACACCGCGCCAGGCACTCATTTGAGGCTGAGTCGACCTGGTGGAGGCCCGGGACCGGTTCAGATATCCGCCGCTGACTTTTTTGCCCGTGAGCGGGAGTCGAACTCGGTTCGTCGGATTTCGCAGTGCAGACGAGCGCTAACCACTGCGCCACCGTTCCCCACAACATAACAACAACAACAACCGCCATTCGCCACTAAGTGTCGGCGACGTCCCCACGGTGCTTGTGCCAGGCTATGTGCACGTTGAGGCCAACATACCACGCATGCGCACACCCACCTGTGGCACAAACAGGAGTCGGTGAGGAGCGGAAGAAGAAGAGTCTCGAGTCATCCCCACGTTGCTCCGAATCTCCGCGGCGTCTCGTCTCGTGGCGACATCCTGGGGCGTGCTGAACAGGTCAGACGACGACTGCGCGCTCCGTGCGGTTGATGTTGATGAGAGAGCAGCAGCAGCCGTGAGTCTTACATCGAGGTGGTCGATCAGCCAGATGATTGCGTCACGGGTAGCTGAGCGGTGAATCGTCTCCGTGAGGATGCCTCTGTCATATGGAGGATCTCCGTGTGAGTCTATGGGTATCTGTGTGAGTTTATGGGTATCTGTGTGAGTTTATGGGTATCTGTGTGAGTTTATGGGTATCTGTGTGAATTTATGGGTATCTGTGTGAGTTTATGGGTATCTGTGTGAGTTTATGGGTATCTGTGTGAGTGTATGGGTATCTGTGTGAGTTTATGGGTATCTGTGTGAATTTATGGGTATCTGTGGGAATCTGTAGATCTTGAGGTGAGACTATGGCTCTACGTGTGAGTCTATGGGTTTCTGTGTTTATCTATGGGTCTGTATCTGAATTTGTAGATCTTGAGGTGAGACTATGCATCTCTGTGTGAGTCTATGGGTCTCTCCGTGTGAGTCTATGGGTCTCAGTGTGAGTCTATGGGTCTCAGTGTGAGTCTATGGGTCTCAGTGTGAGTCTATAGGACTCTCCGTGTGAGTCCACGGGTCCTAGTGTGAACCCTTAGATCTCTATGTGAGTTTATGGGTCTCAGTGTGAGTCTATGGGTCTCTCCGTGTGAGTCTATGGGTCTCCCCGTGTGAGTCTATGGGTCTCCCCGTGTGAGTCTGTGGGTCTCTTCGTGTGAGTCTATGGGTCCCAGTGTGAACCTATAGATCTCTGTGTGAGTCTATGGGTCTCCCCGTGTGAGTCTATGGGTCTCAGTGTGAGTCTATGGGTCTCTCCGTGTGAGTCTATGGGTCTCCCCGTGTGAGTCTATGGGTCCCAGTGTGAGTCTATGGGTCTCCCCGTGTGAGTCTATGGGTCTCTCCGTGTGAGTCTATGGGTCTCAGTGTGAGTCTATGGGTCTCTTCGTGTGAGTCTATGGGTCCCAGTGTGAACCTATAGATCTCTGTGTGAGTCTATGGGTCTCCCCGTGTGAGTCTATGGGTCTCAGTGTGAGTCTATGGGTCTCTCCGTGTGAGTCTATGGGTCTCCCCGTGTGAGTCTATGGGTCCCAGTGTGAGTCTATGGGTCTCCCCGTGTGAGTCTATGGGTCTCTCCGTGTGAGTCTATGGGTCTCAGTGTGAGTCTATGGGTCTCTTCGTGTGAGTCTATGGGTCCCAGTGTGAGTCTATGGGTCTCCCCGTGTGAGTCTATGGGTCTCTCCGTGTGAGTCTATGGGTCTCAGTGTGAGTCTATGGGTCTCTTCGTGTGAGTCTATGGGTCTCCCCGTGTGAGTCTATGGGTCCCAGTGTGAGTCTATGGGTCTCCCCGTGTGAGTCTATGGGTCTCTCCGTGTGAGTCTATGGGTCTCAGTGTGAGTCTATGGGTCTCTTCGTGTGAGTCTATGGGTCCCAGTGTGAACCTATAGATCTCCGTCTTCTTCTGAGCACGCCTGATGTTACTCTACACCAAACCGCTGTCGCTTTACATCGAGGTGGTCTGACCAGCCAGACGAGTACGCCAGGGGTAGCGAGAGGCATCATCGCTGCCCCGATGATGCCTCTCGCTTCGTATTTGTGAATCGGGCATCGAGTCGACGTTCCGTGTTCTACGGTTTCTGTTCTGGGGTGGTGACACGAGTCGCCGGGCAATACCGCGAAGTGGAAGTTGACAGCAGCAGCAGCATTCGCAGCCTTCACGCTGCCCCCTCTGTTCAGTGAGAAAGTAGCGGCCGATGCCACCGCCACCATCACCACCGTCAGCATCAGCATCATCAACCTCGCCATCACCCCTTCGTTGGCAGAACATCGTTTTGAACGATCTGTCGGTCGACGGTGCAACACCTCGATGTGACGCTAATCTCACACGCGTGCACCCACCGTCTATGACCATCGTCACACGGCAGGTTATAACCTCACTATTCCGTCTGCTCCCCCATCCTCTTCCTTCAACCACCTCGCATTAAAAATGGAAAATAAAAATAAAAACTCTCCGGTCGCAGTGGCGATGCGACTGCGGCCATCGTCCAGAACGGCCCGTCGCGATGCCTGACCCGCAAATCGGAAGGAGACGTCACAGCGATGATGCACTCCCCCCCCCCTCAGCTCCTGACGAGGTTGTCTGGGCTTGACTGCCTGGATGTGAAATCGGAGTCGATCCTCTGCATCGAACGTCAGCCGCACGACGCGAAGAGACAACCTCGCACTGCTACCACTTTGGAATCCACCTCGCCATCATCGTCATCATCGTCACCATCGTCTCTCTCCACCTCCCCGCAAGCTCTGACAATGATCATGATGATGATGATGATAATAACACATCCGATCAATTCAAAGCATGCCTGTTATTCCCCCTACCCATTACGACGAAGAGTGCTGCTCGTTGCTGGACACTCCACGCTTTTGGAGGCGGCTTCGAACCCGGAGTGCACGAGTTCTCTCTCTCTTTCTCCCCGTGATGGTTTCGTGTGGGATTGTCTCCGGGTTCGTCCGCTTTTGCCCCCTCCCCCCGCCCGCTCCACTTGTATAGACAACGTCACGCGTTCAGATGTATCTGGCTCTTAATGTAAATTCCCACGTGATGATGATTATGATGATTGTGATCATCATGATCATTTAAGCCACTTCGACTAGCTACCATATGTGATCCAGGTCGCCTCTGAACAATAACTAACACACACCTGGAACGTATGTGTGTGTGTGAGTGTTGAACTTCTTTCGCACCGTACGTAGCCAACATGCGCTAAACTTTAGGTGCGGGGGAAGGACAACAAACTAAACACAAACAGGCAGTTTTAAAGATGACGATGGTTTACAAGTGCACAGCTCCAGTGGCGTCCGAATATCGGAAAGAACAGAGCGTTCCAGACGGCCGCAATAGCGCATCCAAAAGCGCGCGATGCCAGTGGCCGTCTTTGTTCGATGGCTATAGCCAAACGTCGCAATGCGAGAGTTTAGTTGCGAAGAGCAGCCGTGCGCGTTAAAGTTTTGCAACTTGACAATCCACGCGTTTATTTTCGCATCTCATGGCATCACAATGCGTCATTTGTGCCTTGCAGTTATTCACAACGGCCGGATAATCACCGAGTGTCCAGACGCTCTTTTTGGAGGAGCACGGATGAAGCTGATGATGATGATGCTGCGTTGCCAGCGATGCACAAACACGGTGGCTAGGAGATGTTAACTACCTCGCCTGTTATGCAGGAGGTCGCGGGTTCGATCCCGACCCTGATGCCTGTTGTATATTTCGAGTTTGCGTGTTCTCCTCGTGGATTTTCCCCTCCAGTTTAGAATCAGCGTCACGCGTTTAGAGTAGTTGGCTACTGCTGCTGCTGCTGCGAGACATTTCCACGCGATGAGCCACTTCGTTGAGCTGTCAGTCGTGATAGCAAGGTCGCTTCTAAAATTAAAAATAGTTTCGTCGAATATTTAAACGGGTCGTGGACCTCACGTAGGTCGACTGAGCCTTCGTGAAAGTGAGTACCTGGTGCGGTGTGTACACATCAACGCTGGGGAGACAAAGGCGTGCTCGCTACTCATATGTGTTTACCGTTGCTATCGTCACTACCCACGTGTTTATAACCACCCCTGCTCTCAACTCCGAGCCATTCTCCATCCACCGATGGATGAAGCCCTCCCCACGCCATGTAAATCACGTACAGCGCTTTTAGATTGGGGACGGGGGGGGGGGGGGTTACATTCTACCATACTTCACCACGCTGGTGAGTGCGAGTTGGTGAACGGTGTGGGGGGGGGGGATTGTTGATGTGGACAGGATCTCCTCTGATTCATCTCTAGCGCCACTGACGGCCACCCCGACCGGGAGATCGAAACGCGGTGGAACGCGGATTCGGAACGAGACTGCCCGACAGAGCGCTGCGAGCGAGTGAAGGTGCCGAGTTGCCGTGCGGGTTCTTCGTCGCCAGCGTTGGGCGCGTTGAACACGTGCCCCCCCCCCCGCTCCCCCCCCCCTCTTGGGTTTGTTTCAGACGTTCTTGACAAGCGCGATCCGTCTGAACGAGCGGCGGGTCCTCTGTTTGATGCAACAACAAAACAAACATTGACCCTATTTGGATGATTGTGTAGTTGTTGTTGTTGATGGTTTGGTAGTTGTTTGGATGGTAGTGGCTGCTGCTGCTGTTGTTGTTTGTGATTAATTCGCGATTGAGAATATTGTTGTCCCACCTGAAGAATGAGCCAGCATTACATACAGGACAGTGTCTCCAACGATTTCAACTGAAGTCGTGAGAGTGACGCGTCACCATCATCATCAGCCATGGTCAAACCACTGCTAGGTGAAGACCTGCCCAGACAAGGACACATAGAGACAGAGAAAGAGACAGATACAGACAGAGACAGAGAGAGACAGAGAGAGACAGAGACAGACAGAGACAGAGAGAGAGAGACAGACAGAGAGACACAGACAGACAGAGACAGACAGAGAGAGAGAGACAGAAAGAGAGACAGACAGAGAGAGATAGACAGAGAGACAGAGAGAGACAGACAGAGACACAGACACACACAGAGACACAGACAGAGAGACAAACAGAGAGAGACAGACAGGAGAGACAGACAGAGAGAGATAGACAGAGAGACAGAGAGAGACAGACAGAGACACAGACACACACAGAGACACAGACAGAGAGACAAACAGAGAGAGACAGACAGACAGACAGAGACAGAGACACAGACAGAGAGGGACGCCCGCGTAGTCCAATCACCCACGGTCGATGACCGAACGAGTCGCGAACGCATCCAAGCTCATCAGATTCTAGGAAGCTAAGCGGACTTGAGCCTGGATAGCGCTCGGATGGGCGACCACCACCGCGCCGTGGGGGTGGGGGTTGTTTGACCATACTTCACCACAATTGTCGTCTCGGCTTAGCGAAGGCGTTGGGGCGGAGTGCACCACAACAACTTGGAACTCCTCCCACGAAACTTGACAGCGCCCAAGCCTCGAGCACGTGCGCTCTTAGCACGGCGCGAGCCCATCCGAGTAGCACCCGGGATCACCCCCCCCCCTCCCTGCTTAGCCTTCTCGATGATACGTAAAGACTTGAACCAAGCAACACAACACGGGGTTGTCAGCGACAAAACAACTCGTTTATTTACACTTTGTTAGACTTCATCCACAACGTGGGCGGGGAGAGATGGCGAGGGGGGGGGGGTCGAATTTTTGTCCAGGTGACTGCTTTAGCTGGGCGGTGGTGGCGGTGGTTGTGGTGGCGTTAGTGGTGGTGGTTGTGGTGGTGGTGGTGGCGTTAGTGGTGGTGGCGGTGAGAGTGGTGGCGTTGGTTGTGGTTGTGGTGGTGGCGGAAGCGGTGGTGGTGGTGGCGTTAGTGGTGGTGGCGATGGTGATGGTGGCGTTGGTTGTAGTGGCGTTAGTGGTTGTGGTGGTGGCGTTAGTGGTGGTGGCGGTGAGAGTGGTGGTGGCCAAGCTGTTGCGCGTGACTGCCCGCGATCCAGCGCTGTGTGGAGGCAGCAGCGAGGGGTTGGTGGACCACACACACGCACTGATCTTGCCAAACTTCCCTTCCCGTGGGCGAGGAGCCGTACCCCCCCCCCCCCTCTGGCTCGCCAGGAGAGTGCGCGGCACGGCACGGGTGCACTCCGTGCGTTCCATCTGCGTCGGGGTCGAGTGTCGACCGCGTGGTACGCGTGGCGTTGCTCCGGCTGCTCCGGTTGCCTCGATGCAGACGAAGCATTTAAACAACATCAGTGGAGCTCCTGAAGAAGCCCCCCCCCTAACACGTGCGGCGAAACGTCGGACATCAGAGAGCCACAACTCGATTGTCCGTGTCGCGCGTGTGTGGCAGGACTCGACACACGAGGATCGAACGGCGTCACCGGCAACTCAACTCCACCACCAAACAACAACAACAAACAACAACAACAATTCAACACGGGAGGTGGGTATTCGTGACGAGCAGTGTTAATTGGTGGTGGTGGTAGCGGTAGTAGTGGTGGTGGTAGTGGTGGTGGTGCACGTTTTGTTTGGGGAGTCAAGGTGACCGAACGGCGGGCAAACGAGGGAGAAACGCACGAAGAGAGGATGACAACAACCACCACCACCACTCAACCACAACCACCGACTACCACCACCAACCACCACTCAATCATTACCACCACCAACCACCACCACCTTCACGCACACCTCCGACTAGCACGGTTGGCTACGTACGGTGTGAAAGAAGTTCAACACACGTGCGTACGTGCGCGAAGTTGAGCGGAGTGATAAACAGTGCACAGAGTGACACAAGCACCACGTGCTGCCTGGCGATGTACTCGAATCGTCGACGGACTTGTGAATCTTGGCGGCTGAGCCTGGATAGTAGTGCTTGGATGAGGCTCGAAGAGGCAACCCGACAGCCAGCAACAAACAGCACCATTGCACGGCGCAACGATGGATGAATGTCGCAAGTTCAAGGCGTTCGCTCCGAGGTCGAATCGCACATTTCCTTTGCCAGTCGAGATGCAGCGAGTAGGTAACTGAGTGAACAGGTGAGGGTGAGTGAGCAGGTGAGTGAGTAGGTGAGTGAGTATGTGAGTGAGTGAGCAGGTGAGTGAGTGAGTAGGTAACTGAGTGAGTAGATGCGTGGACAGGTGAGTGATTGAGTAGGTGAGTGAGTAGATGAGTGAGTAGGTAACTGAGTGAACAGGTGAGTGAGTAGGTGAGTGAGCAGGTGAGTGATTGAGCAGGTGAGTGAGTAAGTAACTGAGTGAGCAGGTGAGTGAACAGGTGAGTGAGTAGATGAGTGAGTAGGTGAGTGAACAGGTGAGTGAGTAGGTAACTGAGTGAGCAGGCAAGTGAGCAGGTGAGTAGGTAAGTGAGTGAGCAGGTGAGTGAATAGGTCACTGAGTGAGCAGATGAGTGAGCAGGTGAGTGAGTAGGTAACTGAGTGAGCAGGTGAGTGAGCAGGTGAGTGAGTAGGTAACTGAGTGAGCAGGTGAGTGAGTAGGTAACTGAGTGAGCAGGCGAGTGAGCAGGTGAGTGAGTAGGTAACTGAGTGAGCATGTGAGTGAGCAAGTGAGTGAACAGGTGAGTGAGTAGGTAACTGAGTGAGCAGGTGAGTGAGCAAGTGAGTGAGTAGGTCACTGAGTGAGTAGATGAGTGAATAGATGAGTGAGCAGGTGAGTGAGTAGGTGAGTGAGTAGGTGAGTGAGTGAGCAGGTGAGTGAACAGGTGAGTGAGTAGGTAACTGAGTGAGTAGGTGAGTGAACAAGTGAGTGAACAGGTGAGTGAGTAGGTAACTGAGTGAACAGGTGAGTGAGCAGGTGAGTGAGTGAGTAGGTAACTGAGTGAGTAGATGCGTGGACAGGTGAGTAAGTAGGTAACTGAGTGAACAGGTGAGTGAGTAGGTGAGTGAGCAGGTGAGTGAGTAGATAACTGATTGAGCAGGTGAGTGAGTAGGTAACTGAGTGAGCAGGTGAGTGAACAGGTGAGTGAGTAGATGAGTGAGAAGGTGAGTAGAACAAGTGAGTGAGTAGGTGAGTGAGTGAGTAGATGAGTGAGTAGGTGAGTGAGCAGGTGAGTGAGCAGGTGAGTGAGTAGGTGAGTGAGTAGACGAGTGCTTCTTCTATTGAGGGAAGACGGAAGGAAATACAACAGGGAAGGAGAAAGGGGGGAGTGAAGGCACCATCGATATTGTTGTAATAACACGCAGAGTCTTTACTTTCTCGAGGAAGTATTTAATGACGGAATAGCGAAAGGCATGATAACCATCGATAATGTAATAACCAACGTGTTCTATGAATGAGGCATGGAGGTAAGGAATTACGGAATTAATAAAATGAATGCTGTCATAATAACTAAGAAAAACCCGATGAATGATTAAACGAATGACTGAATACGTGAATTAAAAAGCAGCTCTATCGTATAAAACCACGACTTAATCCAGCTGTCGAGAAAATAAGGGACGATTGCGTGAATGAATGGACCATCAATCCTGTAGTAGTAGTAGTAATAACAATAACCACGACAACGACTCAATATTCTCCCCCAGAAAGCGAGAAACGCTGAAACGACATTCGGCAATGAAACGGGTGACTAACGCACGTTACACGTGGGTCGGCGGAGAAAGTAAACACCGAACGCGGCACGCCACCACATCGACGCCTCGATATCAGGAACGAAACGGGTGGACTTCTACACACATCTGTCTGCCACCTGATGACTCCCGATTGCAATAACTGGCGAAACGTCGTGCTCGGATTGTAAATGTCTGTTGCTTGGCTCTCCAAAGCACAACCGGTTAGTGCTGTACTCGTGACGAATTGGCCACGTTCTGTTTACGTGACAACCCTTACTAGTTGGCTGTGTCGGGTGGTGGCGGTGTTTAACGGCACGTTGATATATTTACGCGATCTAACCCAAACAACAACAACAACAACAACCTGTATCATGGACGGCGTGTCTCCTCTCTCCTTCAGAGCGCCCTTGCGCGTGTCCCGGTGCCACGAGGGGGCCGGCAGAGAGATCCTTCCTCGCCGTGTCCTCCACGACCGGACACCCCGAACCTCGCCTCGCCAAGGCAGCCACGCGGGCGGAGGGAGCTGCAGCTCGCCGGCAGTTGTCGACTTAAACCGCGGAGACGACTTCTGTGTTTGCACGGGCGGGGTGGGGGCGCCAGGTGGGTGGGTAGAGGGGGTGGGGGGAACCCAGAGGTCGTGAATGCCGATGGCTGACTCGGTGATGGACGAGAGGAGAGGTGGAGAGAGGTGTTCGTTGTTGTTCGATGTCCTGGGCGTGGTGGTGATGACCGCCCACCCGGCCCCGCTCGTGCGCGGTGCCAGGCCGTTAAAAGGTGCCGCTACTCGCTGACAGCACTTGCCCCTAAAGTCTGGTAAGGCTATACGGGGGACCTTTGGCTTTGGTTGGTTGTTAGATGAGGTGGGCCCCGACGGTTCACGGAGACAGACATGGGTCACTGGGGCTTGAGACATCTGGGGCCGCTCAGTCGCGCAATTAAAACGGTGTTCACACTGAAATGTTAAAGTAAAAGCAATAATCAAGATAATACAATTTATATACCTTATTCATTAAAATAATATATATATAAATGATAGTTCTGAGTTTTCAAAAGAGAAAATCGACTTGGCATGCTGTGGACATGTCTCATCCGCTGGTAGTGTGTGCCCCCTCCATAAGTTTGTGCATCTGATGTACCGCATATCACGTGAAGTGATCTCAGAACCACTTCTGGCATATCCGCGTCCGCGGGTCGCTGTCGAACACGTGGGCGCGTGGCGTCGCTCCTCGATAATTCGGGTCCCGTCCCAACGCCGATAACGAAACTGGATTCACAATCGGTGGGGAAAACGACCAAAATTTCTTAATTAAATTTAAAACAAATTGTGTATTGAGAGGGCATCGGCCGAGATTATATTCATGTCTCCGTCATCTCCTCGCCCCATTGACAAAGGTCCGCCGTATAGCCTTTAATAGACTGTCTCGGGCAAGTGCTGTTAGCGAGTAACACCTATGAAGGCCGACACGGCGGCACCTCCGGTTAGAACGGTTGGCTACGTACGGTACGAAAGAAGTTCAACGTGCATATCAAGAGGTGCGTGGGCCAGCACCACGTCTGGCCGTGTTTGTCTCCCCAGTGCTGATGTTTATACACCGCACCAGGTGCTCGTTTGAGGCTGAGTCGACCTAGGGGATGCTCAGGACCGGTTCAGGTCATCGTCACTGATGTTGGCCGTGAGCGGGAATCGAACTCGGGTGGCCGGGTTCGTAGCGCAGCGTAGCGCTAACCGCTGCGCCACCGCTCCCCTCACCTGTTGAATCTCACCACGGTGCCGTGTGGTAGTTGCTTGTTTGTGAATGTTTCGTGTACGCATTTGTGATTGTGTACATGCACGTGTGTGTGCGTTTGTGTTTACGCGTGCGTATGACTATGTGGGGAGCGGTGGCGTAGCGGTTAGCGCTACGAACCCGGCGACCCGAGTTCGATTCCCGCTCACGACCAACATCGATGACGATTATCTGAACCGGTCCTGGGCCTCCCACCGAGGTCGAGGCAGCCTCAAACGAGCATCTGGTGCGGTGTGTAAACATCGCCGCTGGCGAGACAAAGGCGGCCGGGCGTGGTGCTGGCCACCCACCCCCTCGTGTGCCGTGCCGGCCTTAATAGGTGCTCGCTAACAGCACTTGCCCCCAGAGTCTGTTAAGACTATACGGGGGATCTTTGTATTTGTGTGCGCGTACGGGGAGCGGTGGTATTTAGTGCAATGGTGAGCGCACTGCACTACGAACCCGGCGACCCGAGTTCGATTTCCCACTCACGGCCCAACATCGATGATGAATATCTGAACCGGTCCTGGGCCTCCTCGAGGTCAACTCAGCCTTAAATTAATTAACATAACCACTGTGGAGACAAAGGCGGCCGGGCGTGGTGTTGGCCACCCACCACCTCGTGTGCCGTGCCTACCTTAATAGGTGCTTGCAAACACAACTTTCCCCAACAGCCTTGCGTAGGACTATGGCGGTATCTTTGTATTTGTGTGTGTGTGTATGCGTCTGCATATACGCAGTCGTGTACATGCCGTTTCGTGTGTGCTGCGTGCGTGTGTGTATATGCGCATACGTACGCGTGTGTTTCCGTGTGTACGTGTAGTTGTGTATGGCCACGTGTGTGTGTGTGTGCATATGTAGCCGTGTGTGTATTTGCGTTGATGTGTGCATATGGTTATGTACACGTGTGCACACGGGCGTGGATATGATGTGTCCATGTGCAGCTGTGCGGAGCGGTGGTTCACGCGCTGGTCGCTAACATCAGTCGTGAATTAAATCAGAACTTGTCCTGGTCCTCACCTAGGTCGACTCAGCCTCAAAACGAGTACCTGGCGCGGTGTGTAATACATTAGCAATTTGGGGGAGACAAAAGCGGCCGGGCGTGGTGCTAGCCACTCCACCCACTCGTGTGCCGTGGCGGTCATAATAGGTAATCGCAAACAGCACTTGTCCCAAGAATTGTAAGCCTATACGAGGGTATTTTGTCTTTGTACGTGTACGGTTCTATTTATGCGGTTGTGTGTGCATAGTTGCGTGTGCACCTAGCCTGGCACAAGCGCCGGGTGGCCTTTACATTGTAAAATAACACATGGTGTCGTTTGAGTTTATAGTAACCGCCACGTAGTGGAGAATGGCAATTGTTGTTGTTGTTGTTTGAATGTTGTGTAGGTATATATGTATGTGTATCTGTGTGCGTGTGTGATTGTGCAGATGCGTGCACGTGGGTGCGTTATCGTGTGCGAGTGTACACGCGCATATCTGTGTGCGTGTGTGAACGTGCTTGTCAATGCTTGTGGTTGTGTGCACGCGTGTGTGTGCACGCGTGTGTGTACACGTGTGTGTGTACACGTGCGCGTGTGTACACGTGTGTACGTGGTTGTCTGTGCGCGTGTGTGGCATGAGTGTAGTTGTGTGTATGCGTGCGTACGTGCCTATGTAATTTCGTACAATTACGCGTGTATGCGCTCACCTGTATGCGCGCGTGTGTACATGTGTATGCCGGTCGCGTTTGTTGCTATAGGTATACGGTAATTGTGTGTGTGTATGTAATGCGCACATATGCATACCCGATTGTGTATATGCACACGCAGGCGCGTAACAAACATGGAACCTTCAAGTCGAAGTTAATTCACTCGAGCAAGTGTTCAACTGAATAAGAGACTTTAAACAGTTCCACGTTACGCGTCTCCCCTTCTCTTCTTGTTCGATGTCGCTGTCTCGTAACGCGCGTCGAAACGACGGCCGCAACGTGTACACACATGCAAAGGCAAAGATCCCCCGTATAGCCTTTAACAGGCTGTTGGGGCAAGTGCTGTTAGCGAGCACCTGTGAAGGCCGGGTGGACAGCACCGCGCCCGACCGCCTTTGTCTCCCCGTGTAAACATCGCCACCAGGTGCTCATTTGAGGCTGAGTCGACATACAGGCAGGCGCAGGACCGGTTCAGATAATCGCGCGCGCACACAAAATCACCTGGACGGGCGCAAGCGCGCGGCTTCAACATCAACGTCCGTTCGTGATGGGGCTTTGTGTTCAACTACAGATATGAACCATCACCAACGACACCATCATCAACATCATCACTCCCATCATCGACAACATCTCTCCCCCAATCCACCACCACCAACCCACCGTTCACCCCAAGGCACCCCCACGGTCACCCGCATCCAACCCCATCACCCTCAGCCTGGTCTACCACCGCCACCATCAGCAAACAAGCACAGGCAAAGCTCCCCCGTGTAGCCTTCAACGACTGTCGGTGCAAGTGCTGTTTAGCGAGCGGCAAGCAGCGGCAACTATATGAAGGTCGACATGGCACACGAGGTGTGATGTGTGTGTGGGGTGGTCACCATCATATCACCAGGAACGCACCACACTGCCCGGTTTACCCTCCTCCCCCTTCTGTGAATTTCCCCGACTCCGTGATGAAGACACGGAGAGACAGGGAAGAGTGGAGAGAGATGAGAGAGCTTGAGGGAGGGAGCGAGGAGAGAGAGAGAGGAGAGAGAGAGATGATGCTCAGGTGGAGGGCGACTCGCGTGCGTTATAGGGACGCGTCAGCCATTTTGCGCGACCGTGGCGTTTTGTAACAGAGAGACACCGCAGGGCACAGAGACACACACGGGGCACACAGACACGGGGTACATAGACACGCGGCACGGAGACAGCACAGAGACCCCACAGAGACACTCATCACATAGACACTCATCACAAAGACACTCATCACATAGACACGCGGCACAGAGACACGGGGCACATAGACACGCGGCACGGAGACAGCACAGAGACCCAACAGAAACACTCATCACATAGACACTCATCACATAGACACTCATCACATAGACACGCGGCACAGAGACACGGGGCACATTGACACGCGGCAGGGAGACAGCACAGAGACCCCAGAGACACTCATCACGGAGACACGGGGCACAGAGACACACATCACAGAGACACACAGCACATAGACACTCATCACATAGACACTCATCACATAGACACGCGGCACAGAGACACGGGGCACATTGACACGCGGCACGGAGACAGCACAGAGACCCCACAGAGACACTCATCACATAGACACTCATCACATAGACACACAACACATAGACACTCATCACGACACGCGGCACAGAGACACGGGGCACAGATACACGCGGCAGGGAGACAGCACAGAGACCCCACATAGACACTCATCACATAGACACACAGCACATAGACACATACCACTTAGACACAGCACAACGACACATCACAGAGACAGCACATAGACACACAGACAGCACAGAGACACAACACAGAGACACAACGTATATAGACACCTAACATAGCCTTATAGTAGAGACACCGTACATAGACTTATAGTACAAATACAAGTCACATAGACACACAGTACAGAGACCCACAGTTCATAGACAACGCACATAGACACACAGCACATAGATACGCAGCGTGTGCCAATGTCGTGTGAAGAGACACCGTACATGGACAAATACTACACACACACTCCACAAACTCAGATACAAAGCACGTATACACTGGCATACATAGACACGCATATATTAATGTCTATGTACATTGGTATTTAGACAAACTAATAGATACTCCATAACTAACACACACGTGGGT